ATCTAATCTGACTGAAATCTAAACTATATCTGAATCTTAAATCTATCTGAAATTCTGAACTTTATCTGAAATCTTAATGTGACTGCATCTGAAATTTATCTGACATTCTATCTAAAATATATTTTGAACAGTCCGGACTGACCGGACCGGTTTGACTGAACTAGACCGACGGCTCACTCGGAGCCGGTCGATCATCTGCTTGACTATGTGTAGCTCAGTTCGACCGTGGTTCGAGTTCGGCGGGGCAACTCGGGCCGGCACGAACTCGACTGACACGGCTTAGCCGATGCACGAGTTTAAAACGGTGCCACGGTCACTGACGTAGGGGCGTGCTTGGACCACGACTAACGGAACGACGCGTAGACGGCAAGTCGAATAGACTCGGTGCCGGGCACGCACTCGGGGGTTTGACCGGGACTCGGTGCATGGGCACGCACTCGGCGGCTCAGCTCCAACGGTCGGACGAGAGGTAATCACGGCCACGAGACGACGATACGCATTACGAATTACAATACAACGGTTAAAGATTATCTAGACGGTACTAGGGTTCAGACAATTATAATCGGATCCCGAAAAATACCCGGTTATCGGAACCGGATAAAACTAGGGTTCGATTCTCGAAGAATTTTAACTCATTTAAGGCCGATAATTAATATATATATTCTATGTGATTTATAATGATTTTAAAATCAACAATTGCAGCTAAAATCTCCATCTAACTAATATTTTATTTTTACGGCTTTAATATCTAAAGTCCCGATTTTTATAACTAAGTCAAACAACATCCAAAATTTACGAAAATCGCAACATAACATCCTCAATATATGTATGGTCCACGGTCAACAAATCAAGTCTAAAGTCAACTCCTAGACTAGTCAACGAAAAATCTCGAATTTCAACCTAATAACGAAGTCCGAAAAATCTCGTTTACCTAATAACGAAGTCCGAAAAATCTCGAATTTCAACCTAAGCCTCAAAACGACGCAACGAATTTTATGATATTTATTTCGGTATTTTATCACATATATTTCAAAGGTCGAACATATTCGCTTTAAGCCCGAATATCCCGATTTATTCAAAATCACTCAAATCACCCAATTTATACTTTTATATCATTTCAAATATTATGTCTAAGCCATCAAAACCGAGATCTAGTTATTATACCTTAAAACGACTCGGATCGAAGCAACGAGAGTCGATCGGGCTAGAAAATGGG